TAACAAACACAACATGTTTGAGTCAGTTATGTTGTTTCCGCATTCCACGATGGTGTATCTGCTGTTGGATGTGACTGTGCAGGGGTGCTAGCAGCAAACCTTGACAATGACTGTTAACAAGATCACTTGTCTTGGGTATGGGTTTGAGTGCAATTGATTGGGCAATATTCTTCGGGTGCTCTTTAGGGATTTCAACTTTTCGAAGTATACTTTCCTCATCATCAACTCTCTTCTCACGATTCTACAAGCAATGGTAGGCCAGAAATCATAGGTTTTGGGCTCCTTTACAACTTCTATTCTCCAATTGGATCTCTTGCTGTAAACTTTGTTGTGTTTAGGTTTACCACTAGCAGTAATTGCCGCTTTGCGAAACACATGTGCGTTGTGATCAATAGCAGCCAGAGCATCATACCTATTGAAAGAAGCATAAGGATTATCTTATTTTTAAGCATATACTGTGCGGGATTCACTTTATTTGTGCACATTATAACACTTCTAACTGTAGTATAACATATGTACAGAAGCACACTTACTGGTATCCCACTCTTCCTTTAAGTACATATTTCAATAATGTGGAATTAAAATTCTCCAATCTGGTTGTGTGCCTAGATGGTAATGTACAATTATTAAAAATGTCTATGTTTCCTAAGGGGAATTATATGTGGAGACTTGAAACTTTTGTATGTTTTGCACAGATCTTGCTGTATTCGGGACAAACTTGAGGATACATGTGCCCCACAGCACCACCATGTCATTATTTACCACAAAGTATGGCATGGAAAGAAATTAATTACTGCTAGGCCAATACTGTACAAAACCTTAAGGTGACATAGTGATGCAAGCTATTTACCGTTCATCAAGCACCACCTTTCGAACTGCGTCACATGCTTTACAGTTCTTGTTCAAGTACATCTTTCCAACTTCTGTATCCACCAGCGGTCCATGGTCACACTCACTATCAACCCATTTATGTTCACCAGCAATGTGATGTAATATGCCCCAACCAGCTGTCCTGAAAAATGAATTTTTAGTTCAATACATATGCTCTTCATACAATTTACTAATACTGAAAGCATTTTTAGACCTCCTAAGATAGCACAAAATCCTTTATGGAGGTGTATATGGATTTCTCTGGAAAGACACAATAACAAGTACTGTAGTCCAAGTATTACATGTTGCTATGGCAATTATAAATAATTATATATGAGACAATCACTTTCACCAGAAATTAAATACATTTGCATAAAATGTGTAGTGTACAATCTAATATAAACATTTTCATACTTCGAGTTTTTCTTTATCCTCATTGGCTCAGACCATTCACTGATTGCCTCACAGCCCACGACTTTACCAACACCTATGTTGGAAAACTTTTAGAAATGTTTATTTTATCAACGTGTTTATTACTACATATGAGTAATAAGTATTAACGTACACAGCCACCAAGTTAAAACAACAAAATGTTAGCTTGCCAGACTTTTGCCAGATATGAAGTGTATGAAACAGGTAAAAAACTCGCCAGGGTACTTGTCTGGTAAAACATAAAATACAACAAAAATTAGCAATATTATTGCTGAATTCTTCTCACATGACAATATTATATCATAAACTTTGGACATAAATGCCTTCCCTGCTACTAAATAAATCATTGTAGGAAATA